CAAACTGAACTGCACCTGTAAATGTTGTAATTATAAGGTATTGTACTGGTAAAAGCTGTAAATTGCCCTTCAGAAGGCATTCGCCAAAATTAAATTACTACATAATAATGGTTTTGTATTTGTCTGTGTACTGCTCCCTTTGCTATTAGGTTCATGACAGATGACATAAAGTATCAGTAACAGCTCACAGTAATGGATCTGAGAGGTGGGGCTAGTTAAAAACGAGTCTTCAGTGCACCAGCTACTAGTATCATAACCTCATCCTCTTGAGATACACAGTGTACACCCACTTCTTAACTACTGTGTACATGAAAATATGGCGCTGTTACCTGAAATTAACCTAGGTCTTAAGGTCTGATGTTTTTCTCTGATTGCACAGACATGACTGTAATCAGGATGATTATATTCCTCCTAGTTTTACACACTACCACTGACCTTGGCTATTGGCCTGCTACTTCCCCCTGAGCATCCTTCTCCATTTGCTCAATTACAGATCAGCACCATTAGCAACACCAGTCGTTCACTTTTGCCTTTTTTTTTTATTCTTTACATATTAAAGGACCCAAAGTGTCCAACTGTCCTCTGATCTTACATTGTTCAGAATATCAGTATTCAGTATTTTAGGTGTCATTTCCATCTCTCCCTAGTATGTCTGCCACCATGTTTTACCTCACTGTAAAAGATATAGTTTTTGAGATGTCTATTGCATGTCACCTTTATTACTAAGGAGCCTTTGTTTTCCTTTTTAATGTTTTTTTTTTTACTATCCTTGAAGCTATTGCCCCATGCACAAACAAGAAGGTAAGAAACCCTGTCTTAAAAGGTCAGACATCCACCTGAAAAGTAAGTAACAGAATAAAGAAACTGGATAAGAGAAAATATATTAAATCAATTTAAATACCATTAGAGAGAGCGGACAGCTCAGAAAATGGCAAGCAGGGCAAGAAGGGCTAACAAACCTGGCACGTGAGAATGAGAAAAATGCCTCACAGAGCTTCGTGGCATCGTTAGGAAGAAACTTAAAACCACAAAATGCACTGCTATCAAATAACCAATAACAGTTGGAAAAAAATTAAGGTAACCAGAGCCAGCATCTTGACATTAAGTACTTGTTTATGTTACTGTTACAGGTTCCACATTGTTTGGAGTCATTTTAATTAATAAGGATAATCACCTTTATTTGGCCAAGTATGTTAAACACAAGGAATTTGTTTCCGGTACAAAACCGAGGCAGCCATCTGCGGCGCCAATTCAACCGATGGCTCTAACCATCAGGGGCAACTTGGGGGGGTTCAGTGTCGTGCCCAAGGACACTTCAACATGTGGACTGCAGGCACCAAGATTCAAACCTTCAACCTTCCAGTTGGGAGACAACTGCTCTACCCACCGCACCACTGTCGCCTCCCACTGTAAGATACCTTGAAGTTTGCTGGTAATAAAATCATATTTTAAATCAAATCATTATGACTGTTTTTGGTAACGTGGTTGAGTAATAGGCAGGATTATGTACAGTGAGCTAGTGACTATTGCACATAAGCCCTGACAGAGTGAATGGAGAACCCAGTAGGATTATCCCTGGATTGTAAACATTCTACTAATGTAGGGGCTTGTGCAGCTGCCAGTATGTATTTCCTAGTGATAGCAAACTGTGACAGCTGTGCCAGTGCTCCTCTCCTTTATGGTAAAAAGCAGTCTGGAGCATTACTTCCTGGTCTTACTAAGATCATTTCCCTCCCATAAGGGATCAGTTCTACACTCAGTGCAGTGTGCAACTAAACACATTCCACACTGTGATACAGTATGACTGAGCTTTGTTTCATGTTTGCCTTATAATACTGGCAACAAGCCATTTCAATAAACACAGGGGTTTAAGAGTTGCATGCAAAAATAGTGTGTCCCAGGGAGACAATGGCTAAGTCCACATTACAAATACATGGCATTTGTTCTGCTATGATTTTCTGACATCAAAGACATCATAATGCAGAGAGCCTGAACTCAGAAACACGGCTGCTTTCCACAACTCTGCTCATCCACAGGAGTTCTCTGCAAGCTGCTTTCAGTGTCTCCATTTACATAAGCTGTAAGCAGCCACACCGTAAAAGTATGCACTTTTCTTTTCAAAACTGATTTCTCAAAGAACCAAATAAAAGTGGCATTCACAATGTTAAGACTTATAACCTGTGAAGTTGCTGAAAACCTAATCTAACCACAGGGGTTTCAAGCCAGTGACTTCTGTGTCGGTCCCAAGCCCGGATAAATAGAGAGGGTTGCGTCAGGAAGGACATCTGGCGTAAAACATGCCAAATTTAAACATGCAACTCATCAGTGTAAATTCCACACCGGATCGGTCGAGGCCCGGGTTAACAACGACAACCACCACCAGCGCTGTTGACCTACAAGGTGCTGGCAAAAATTGGACTACTATTGATTGAAGAAGTCGAAGAAGGAGAGAAGGCAGAAGGAGTCGTAGACAGAGAGAGAAGAGGAAAGGCAGGAGTATAGGTCTGAGAATAGGGACTCTTAACATTGGCACAATGACAGGAAAAGGTAGAGAGCTGGTGGACATGATGGAGAGAAGGAAGGTAGATATACTGTGTGTGCAGGAGACCAGGTGGAAGGGTAGCAAAACATGTAGCATTGGAGGGGGATACAAACTGCTTTATTATGGTGTGGACAGGAAGAGAAATGGGGTAGGAGTGATCCTGAAGGAGGAGCTTGTGAGGAATGTTTTAGAGGTGAAAAGAGTGTCAGACAGGGTGATCAGTTTGAAGTTGGAAATCGAAGGGGTAATGCTGAATGTAGTCAGTGGTTATGCTCCACAAGTAGGGTGTGAGTTAGAAGAGAAGGAGAGATTCTGGAGTGAGTTAGATGAGGTGATGGAGAGTATTTGAGTTGAAGTTTCGGAACGATGTTTCCTTGACTTGTGTACCTTTACTTGTGTCAAAGAGAATACTTCCAGGACTCCGACGTAGGTATTGCAAAATTTATTTATTCCACCGTTTACAGGAGCGTTCAATGTTTTTATCCTCTTAGAACAGCAAAGGCACTACGGTCCGAAAACTGTGTGGGTCGTTCCTAAGTCCAGCTTCAACTAACTAAAGCATTTCCATGAGCTTCCAAGCCTTACTCTCTTAAAGAGACAGCAACATAAACATGATACTAACAGAAAGTTACCATATCCTTGAGCTAAACATTAATAAGGTAGAATAAATTTAACTGACCTTTGCCTATCTCTACAAATGAAATCAACTATTCATTTATACTCACAATGAATTTTATCATAATGCAAGATATATAATTGAATGAACATATAAACACAATTTGGCTCCCACAGAGTTTTCCCAGAGGGGAGAGAGTGGTGACTGGGGCAGACTTCAATGGGCATATTGGTGAGGGGAAAAAAGGTGATGAAGAGGTGATGGGCAAGTATGGTGTTAAGGGAAGGAACCTAGAAGGACAGATGGTGGTGGACTTTGCTAAGAGAACGGAAATGGCTGTAGTTAACACCTATTTCCAGAAGAGGGAGGAACATAGAGTTACATATAAGAGTGGAGGTAGGAGTATGCAGGTAGACTACATTCTATGTAGATGAGGCAATCTGAGAGAGATTAGTGACTGAAAAGTGGTGGTAGGAGAAAGTGTAGCCAGACAGCATCGGATGGTGGTGTGTAGGATGACTCTGGTGGTCAGGAAGAAGAGGAGAGGAAAGACAGAAAAGAAGACCAAGTGGTGGAAATTGCAAAAGAAAGAATGTCATGAGGAATTCAGACAGAAGTTGAGACAGGTTTTGGGTGGTGAGTAAGAACTTCCAGATGTCTGGAAAACTACAACAGAAGTGATCAGGGAAACAGATAGGAAGGTGCTAGGTGTGTCATCTGGAAGGAGAAAAGAAGATAAGGAAACATGGTGGTGGAACGAGGAAGTACAGGACAGCATTCAGAGGAAGAGGCTAGCTAAAAAGAAGTGGGACATAGAAAGGACTGAAGACAGTAGACAGGATTACAAGAAATTGCAGCGTAGAGTGAAGAGGGAGGTGGCA